TGGATTTGCAGTTGGTACAAGGGGCAGTGCCAAGCCCAGCAAACCGTGGCCCTCCACTTTTTAAATGTTTAAAATAGAAGTTTCAGATCATTTGTGGAAAGAGAATAGGATTTCACTGAACTTTTCTCCTGAGAGTGTTTCTCAGAGAATTTAACAGAATTGCTTATATTAATAGTTTACCGATTTTTTTTTTGGAAAATTATCTAATAGATGGAGAATTTTGGTAACCACTCTGTTCTAAAATTCTCTGAATTAGAAGGGACGGAGGCTGCCCGGGGCCAGCTCTGTCTTCAGTATGGCAGAGCTGAGGACCGTCGGGGGACGTAACCTCTTTCCTTGCTGGGGACTGCCAGCAGTTTTGTCCTGTTCTGGAAATTTCATTATGGAGTTTAAATGTTCTGTCAAGCATTCTTCCCGATATGCAATCATATTAATTTAAGCCCATTGTAGGGTAAATGATTTTCAGGCTTTTCTGCCCTCCTGCCATTTGTTCCAGGTTGTGTTGTTTACTTCTGTGGGCCGTGGCTCAGTGTTGAGATAGTCACCAAGAGAAGCAGAAGCAGAAAAGAGGTGGGAGAAAGAGGCAGGAGAGAGAGGGTATGAAAGAATGAACGCCAGAGAAGCCCAGAGGGAAGACTTACCCGGGGCTTGAAGGCGTGCCTGCCTCCTGGCCCCCCAGGACCCCTGCCTGCAGTGAACCTGGTTGCTGCACTCCATGTAAAAGCTCAGTAAAAGCCTGAGAAAGCCACCAAGGGCTCTAGGACTCTCCTTTACCCTGGTCTGCTCCGATCATAGAAAACCTGCTCTGTGCCCATCCTGCCCCTACACCCATTTTTATTGTCCCGAGTCCTTCATAGCAAATGGAGATGTAACTTAGCAGCACTTTTCTCAGAAAGCTCTCTCAGCTCCTGCCTCTGTTCACTGTCCTAGCTCGGGGCTGGTTGTCTCTCACCTGCACCGCAGTCGCAGCTGTCTGAGCTCTGCACTGCTGTTGTCTTCACGGTGCCATCACGTTCACAGCCCTGGCGTGTGCATGTCCCAGCCATCATAGCGGTCGATAGGAGAGTGTGCAGGCAGCCCAGTTCGCTGTCTGGGCCTTCGTGTTAGAAAGTGTGCCCTACTGAAAATGGCATTAATTCCTATACTACCAGTAGCTTAAGCAAGAAAGCAGCTTATTGCCATCTCACATGAAAGAAGACCAGAGGTAAGCAGGCTCGGGCCCGCTGGCTTGTCCCACAGTCTGCAGCTTATTCTGGTGTCTGCTCTGCACCTTGTCCCATAGCCTCCAGGACCAAGAGGAGTGCCCATGGGCCAGCTGTCACATCCACATTCCAGCCACAGGACGGAGGAAAGAGGACGAACTTCCATCCATTAAGGACATTTGCTGGAAGTCACTTTTAACACTTTTAGCTGGCATCCTACTATCTACAACTTAGACGTGCAAGCCAGGCTTAGTAGCAAGAAGACTGAGGAATGCACTTTGTTAGCTAATATTGCCAGCTGAAAATTGGAGGTCTTATTACTAGGAAAGAAGGGGCTAGATTATTGGGTAGCAACTGGAGTCTCTGCCATAGGACATGTCCCCATGCCCTGCCAGCCTTGCCCACCCAGCGATTGTGCTCAGCCGGGTGGCATCTGCTGTCAGTCTTAAGTCCAGAATATCGTCGGCCCTTTTCACGGCTCTGAGACTTTGAACAGGTGCTGGCCTTTACCCGGAACATCTTCCGCTTCCCGATCTCTCTCCAAAACATGCTTCAAGATGAGCCGCTTCCTCAGTGAGTGCCTCCCAGCCCCCAACAGCACACTCTTTTTTACTTGAGCACCAGCTTAGTAGTTGAGCAGACTCAGGCCTGAGCCTCTCTTCGCAGCTTGGGCTGCAAAGGCTAAGTATGGGGTACTCAGCACACAGTTGTACCCAGAGGCTAGGTCCCCCTCTGAGTTTCAGACCTTCGCTTTGAATTGATTGTTTACTCCACATCATCAGTTAAAGGGCTCACAGGTGGCCCCTCACTCAAATAGAAGCACCCCTGAAATAGAACTCTTGATCTTCCCTTCCTCTAGTCTTTTCTGTGCTGCTTGTGCCTCCACCAGCCTGGCTGCAGATGTTGGAAAGCTGCAGATAACCCTTCACTTCTCATCTGGAAGAATCCTTAAACCCTCATGACTAATTGCCACCAAAATCTTTCTCTTCAACTTCAAAATGTGTGTTAAATTGACCCTTTTATAATTCCATCTCTGATGCCTGCACCATCGCACTGTCCCCCCATCTGGATGATTGCAGCAGCTCTTGGCTAGTCTCCAGGTACCCCTCCCAGCTCACCCCCACCCACCTTGGGCAGTGCCACTTTCTTGCACAACAATCCTTAGCCAGCTTTCCATTGAATCCAAGATTCTTGGTTTAAATTCAGGATCCTTTAAATTCTGGAAGGCCCTGCCTGACCCCACTCCTGTCTGCTTTCTCACCTCCTCACCGTGCCTGTTCCTCATTGTGCGCCAGTCCCGGGGTGGCCCCTCTTCCTTCATTATGCCAAGAACGTCCCACCTCTGCCTCTTCCCAAGTCTGCTCCCCACCCGGGGTCTCTTGTGCCCTTCTTCACTCCCCGCCACGCCATCCTGATGTGTCACCTTAAATGTCACTTCCACATGGGCCCTTTCTCTGACTTCTTAATCTAAGTCTTATATTCTCTCATCTTCCTTCTTGGGACAGTTCTTAGCATTCATCATAATTTTATAGCATTATATTTATTGAGTAATAGTTTACTGAATATCAGCCCCACATTAAACTATGGGATAGGACTTCTTTCATTCACCACTGAATCCTCCATGCCCAGTGCTTAATGATTGCACATAGAATAAATGAATAAGTAAATAACCTTTTGATTCAACATTCCATTAGATTTTCTCATTAAATGGACAGCTTTGCTCGTCAGTGTGGCAAGACATAGTTGTTGGAAACCTATGAAGGTGATTCACCTTTCAAACCCAGCACTGGGTTTCTTCACATTCGCTGGGCACATCTGTGATGCCCACCTGCAAGGCTTCCCCTTAATTTACTAGAATGCACCTTGTCTGAGCAAAGACTTTCCTTCCCCACTTTGCCTTTTTATTGAAATAACATTAGTTTACAACCCAATATAGGTTTCAGGTGGACAGCTTTTCACTTCAGTGACTCTGTGCCCCTCACCATCAAATGTCATCACCATTCACCACTAACCTGTTTACTCTTCCCACCTTCCTTTCTGGTAACCATATGGTGTTGTCAGAATCTAAGGGTTAAGGGTCAGTTTTTGTTTTGTCTATTCAATTGCTTCCCCCCTCCTTTTATTTCACTTAGCATATTCCCCCCAGGGCCCACCTGTTTTGTCACAATTGGCAAGAGTTCATCTTTTTTATGGCTGAATGGTATTCCATTGTGTAAATATACCACATTTCTTAATCCAGTCACAGGGTATCCTTTTCAGCACAGAATCTGAAAAAAGTCATGTTCAGGTGTGCTATGGAAAATCGTATTTGGGCCCACTCTCATGTCATGGCCTCCGTCTTTAGATGCCACCTGTCATAACCTTTGGAACAGAAGGCTTGCTTGTTGCCAGGGTGGGATCTGAAGCAAAAGTCATTTTATGGAGCTATTAGTGACTATTATAGGAAGTATGTGCCCTGGATTGGGGCAGCTTTGGTAAAACTACCGTATCTTGATTGCCAGCTCTTAAGACCGAAAACTCAGATATCAGATATTTAGGTAGAGTGTATTGTTCATGGTAATTCCAGCCTCCTAATATTTCCTGAATTATCTTATTCTGCAGAACATGTTAGCAAAATATGTTAGATCAACAACTTGTGTAGTTTTTTCTCCCTAAGGGATGTTCTAGAAGCATCTGATGATTTTGGAATCCTAAACTATGATCTAAAATAAAAGACATATTGGATGAGGTCCCTCTTTTGCTGATGGACAAGGTGATCAACAATAGGAAATTTTGTTTGTTTTTTGCTTTTTGGAATGCGGTGAGAATTGTGTTTTCTGTGGGCACTATGGTAGGTACATTTCAGCATAGATGGAAAAGCAAATAGTTGATCATTCTTAAGCCCCTCCAGGTCAGATCATGTCAGTGTTTCCAGAGTACGCCCAGAATGGTAAAATTTGGCTGTAGGCTGAGCCTTTGCAAAGAGGCAGCCAGTCCTGAAAAGGATTTATTTATTTATTTTGGCCTTGGTAATGTCTAAATGATGATAAGTAGAAGTCTCTTTCAGCTATCTGGAGTGGGTCCCACATGAATTGGTTGACCCCTAGAATGTAGCAGCCCCAGTATAGTTGGATAAGAATATTTTGTAAGGGAATTTGAATGTAACACATGAAAATATAAAATGTTAAGTGTTCAGAAGTGTGTAATTGGCTGCTTTTGTTCATGAGTGGTTTTAATGCTCTGGTACAGAGCCTAACTCCCCTTTTTACTGGGGAGATGTGGTTTTAGTTTCTTGGGTGAATGTGCATTTTATAAGTTTTTTAAGAAAGGAAATTAAACATTAAAAGACTAAGTACTTTACTCTTTATATAATGTCACTAAGAAAAGCCAGGAAAATCAGGTTTGGCTTTTTATTTATTTATTTAATAAATATAATCTATTTTCCACCATTTTGTTTGTTATGGCTAGTACCAATATACTTTTATTTTTTTTTTTAAAGATTTATTTATTTATTTATACAAGCACTGGGTACAGTCAGAAGTGCGGGAGGGTGAGAGAATTCACCAGAGCCAGAGCGGGGAGCAGAGCAGGCAGAAGGACCGAAGTACACTGCTGAGGGGAGCAGCGGGCGGCAGGAGAGGTCTGCGCGCCATGTGGGACCCTCCTCTGGTGGCCGGGGAGCAGCCGGGGATCGAACCGGCGCTGCAGAGGCTGCGGGCAGCTTCGCAACCCAGCGCTCAACCGCTGCGCCACCAGGGAGGCCCAGTACCAATATACTTTTAAAAGTGAGCATTTATTTTGATTTGTTTTATTTCACAGATGTGCAGAATAAATTCTCCTATCTCTGCTCTTCATTGTGGCTTGGGACGGTGCTTAACCTCCAGGTTTTCTCGGTATTTGACACATTGGCGATTGACTTTCATTCAGCGTAGTTTGGTGCTCCCCACTGGTATGACATTTGGCTTGTGAATAACGTGAAATAGATAAGATGTGGCTTGCTGACTGTGAGCATCAGTGCAAGTGTGTGATGAGACTGGCCTTTACCTTTCACCTCACCATTTGGGCCTGAGTTTCCTTCTTTATAAAATGAGTAGTTGGGAGCAAGTGGTATCCAAGAATCCTTCCTGCTCTGAATTTACAAACCCCACGGATTTGTGTGATTCGATAACACAAACAATTAGCTGTAGATAACAGCTAATTGACTCCTTTCTTTCTCTCTCTTTTTAACTTAGGAAAAGAAGCTACTGGAGCATCTGTTACAAAAGAGGAGAGCCCCTCCGCGTCCCAGGACACAAGAGCTTTGCCAGAGAAGTCACTGCAAAGATCAGCAAAGGTCATTGTCTATATTTTCCCTCCACGTGACCACATGGCTCTCCCCTGAGCTACCTGTCGAAGGCCTCTCGTGTGATTGAGTGAGCCCTGTAGTTGATCAGTTAATAATAATAAAAAAATCAGTAGTAAAAAGGGAATCATCATAAAAGAGAATCCTTTTTATAACTTAGAATATATGTATCTCTGTTCACTTGACTTTGTTTGGATGAAGGGCCATGGCCTTTTCTTTGTGGGTATGTTGATTGAAATTCCACGTTTTCACTCTTACGCCACAGTCATGGCTTTGAAGTGGAGTGAGAATCTGGACACTGTTGAAGCAATATGAATGTAGACTCCTGCGTTTTCATTTTTTTGCTTTACTATTATTTTATTGTTGTCTCACATGGATCTGATCCAAAACTAAGTTTCCAATAAATCTTTCGTTTTTACCAAGTATTTAATTTGGCTGTCATAGAAACAAAAACAATGGCTTTTGCATCCTATTGTGTTGTCTTGCACAAATCCATTTCATTTTTTTTTAAAGATTTATTTATTTATTTATATAAGAACTGGGGCACAGGCCAGATGCATGGGAGGGTGAGAGGATTCACTAGAGACAGAGTGGGGAGCAGAACAGGCAGAACTACTGAAATACACTGCTGAGGGGAGCAGCGGGGAGACAGGAGAGGTCTGCTGTGCCATGTGGGATTCTCGCCGGCCAGCCGGAATCAAACCCGCACTGCAGAGGCTATGGACAGCTTCACAGTGAGGCGTTCAACCGCCTGCGCCACCAGGGAGGCCCCATTTCATTTTTAATTATATATGCCAGTGGCCTACTTGGGAGTGGGGTGCACCAGAGCTGACCATAGCTTGCCAAGAGCTAGTGGGTGAGACACATATGAGGGCCGGGAGTGAAGAGACTCGCTCTGGCAACTGGAGCGCAGTGTGGGCACTCAGGCCGCACATGGTCAGGGGGCATCTCTTACACGAGGACATGAGGAATTTCCAAAGTATGTTACATGTCTGCCACCCCCAGTGCCCATCCACTGTCTAGACCTTTATTTCAGAGCATTTTGAATACTAACCACCTGCCAAGCAGTGTGCTAGGTGTGGGCAATTAGCATGAAGGGAAGGCCTGGCTCACACACTTGTCTTATTTGACCCGTGCAGTATTTCGACTTTTGACTCAGTGGCTTACATTTAAAAAAAAAAAAAAAAAAAAAAGTAGTATCCACATTTAAAAACACAAGAGTCTGGCTTTTCTTGGCAAAATGAACCATCAGGCAACACTGGGTCAGGTTCCTGAATGGCTGCAGTCGATGCTGGGCAGAGGCGACCCCCTGGAGGCGGACGTGTATCCTGCACTTTGCCACGCCCGCCCTGAAGTTGCCCTCCTTTGCTGCTTTTTTTAAAAAATATTTTCTTAATGATTAAAACTGAAAATTACAAGGCAAAACAACACTTGTATGTGAAACCCATGCTGCAGTAAGATCATTTTTACAACAGCTAACACATGAATCACATATAAGGTCAGGTACTTTATATACCTCTCGTACTGCCAGATGTCCAAAGCAGAATGTTGAAGGAGCAAAGAGGAAGGTGGCTAGGGACTAGTGGGACCCAGGACTAGGCAGGGACCCAGGACTAGGTGTGTACTCCAGGATTAGGTCCAGTTAGGAGCAAGTTAGGTTTCAGCGCTGGAGGAAAAGCATAGCAGGAGGGGATCTTGCAGCCCCCCACCAATGGAAGAGACCCAGCCCAGTGTTTCTGGCTCCCAACCTTGCACTCAAGGTGGTGCACCAGGACAGACTCTTTCCTCGCCCCTACCTAGCAGGATACCACCAGGCATCCCAGCAGCACCTGGGAGTGGGATCGATGGGGAGCCAGCGACGTAAGTGGCAGGAAGAAAAATCCTCCTTCCTCACCACACCAAGACGTCTCTCTTCCATCAAGAGGCACCAGGCATCTGGATAGCTTTGACAAAGGGGATCCTGCCAGAGTGACCCAGGAGGAGAGATATGGTGTCCACACCCGAGGGGAGAAATCCTGTGCTGTCAAAAAATCAACAAGGCTATGAAATAATGGTACTTAATTAAAAAAAGAAAGAAGTGACCCAGCCTCCAAAGCCATTTTGTTCCAGTGGGCCTGAGCCTCCCCTTCCCTACCCAGAGGTAGCAGCGGCTGAGAGCATTAGATCTCGCCACAGCAAGCAGTCCAACCCCCCCGCCCCCCGCCCACCACCCGAGGCCCCAGGTAGCCAAATGGCACTAGTGAAGGAGGGCCTGGCACACGGTGTGTGTGGACCAGGAAAGTTGTTTATCTTCACGTTCTGAAATGCCCCTCCCTTACTCAGAGCAGTTGAAAGGTTGGGTAGCAGCAGTAAGGGCGGGGTGGGGGTCCTACCTCAAGAAGAAACCCATAAGAAGACATCTGTCTATCCCAGCAGGCCTGAGAGTTCCAATCCATGCTAGGGAGATGGGGGCAGGCCTGGGGAGGCTCCTCACCTGGCTGTCAGACTAGCACAGGCACCAAGTGAACTGTCACTGGAACGCCCACCCACAGAAGCCCTCCAAGACCGAGTGCTGAACCTGGGCAAGGTGACTGACTTCGAAGAGGAAGGATTTAAATAAGGCCCTGCTCTAACATAACAGGCAAATGGTCTAAGATATGCTACAAAGAGAAATCATGCCAGACCAAGAACCAGGTTATTCACTTCTTGAGTGAGAAGGATCATCTGGCTGGCGGGAACCTGGAGAAGCTGCAGTTACCCAGCAAAGCTTTCAAGACCACCAGCATAAGAGTGCGTCAACCAGCAATTTAAAATTCTCTTGAAACAAATGAGAAGAGAGAAGATAACAGCAAAGAAATAGAAGTTACTAAAAAAACCAATGGAAATTATGGAATTGAAAAATATAGTAACAGAAATAAAATATTTGTCGGAAAGCAGAGTGGCGATGACTCACCCTAGAATTAATTTAAGGACACATGGAATTCACCCAATCTGAGCACAGAAAAAATCGATTGAAAAAAAAGGGTGATCCTCAAGAAGTTGTGGGACAACAAAAGAGATTCCACATTCAGACACTGGGAACCCAAGGGGAGGATGAAGAGTGTGGGCCTAAAGGGGGAGATTGGCCTGACTGGAAACAGATTAAGGTTAAAACCCATAGAGATTTGCCCTGCTCAGCAAAGTTGTATGACATTAATATGTAATGGTATCATCCGTATGCTTGTCATTTCTTCTTTTGTGATGGGCTCGGTAACTTGTGTTAAGGTTAGGGATTAACGGTGCTGAACTGTCCCAGAATTGAGGATTTTCAGGGTGGGTACAATGGAAGGACAGGAGGGGCGGGCATTTGACAGTATGGTTCGGGGGCTGGGCATGACAGAACGGGGGTCTCTGGGAGGCAGGGAAGGATTCAAGACAAAGAAGCAGCCACTAGACGCAGGGGCATAGGCAAGGTCAAGGCACAGGGTTGTGTTGATGTATCGATGTGTGCCCATGGGCTGGTGGGGGGGTCCCGCATTTTTTAAAAGGCAACTACTATAGTGTTTATTGGAGATGCTGGTACAGGTCACGTGAGAAAAGTGTACTGCAGAACTAATACCCAGTACTTGACTTCCCTGCCTGCGTCTCACGTAGCTCCTTAACACATCGGTTTCGGTTATGAAAGTCTTGGCATTGAATTTGTTGAGGTATTGCGGGCTTTTTCTCTTGGATCTATGTGCCACCACATCCTCCAGTTGTGACTAGAATGGAGATTACTTGGTTCCAGAGCATCTCCGAAAGGTGCAACATTTGGATCTAGAAAAACTGCTGATCTGCTGGTGGAGCTCATAGCACCCTGCTGACTGCCCAGCTGCTCCCCAGCCCTGACCCACACATGACCCTCCTCTCTGTTGTTTTCAGGTGGTTTACATCTTGGAGAAGAAGCACTCGCGAGCAGCCACCGGCTTCCTCAAACTCTTGGCCGATAAGAACAGTGAACTGTTTAGGAAATTTGCCCTGTTCTCTCCTGTGGACCACCGAGTGCCTCGAATTTATGTACCTCTGAAGGACTGTCCCCAGGACCTGGTGACCCGGCCCAAAGACTATGCCAGCACGCTGTTCATCTGCCGCATCGTGGACTGGAAGGAAGACAGCAATTTTGCTCTGGGGTAGGTGATCTCTGGCGGGAAAAACCGCAGCTCCCAGGCAGGACTCCGCTTAGGTGGCCTTTAAGTAAACATTTTTGTGTATTATAGTTAGCATTTCTTTATTAAAGCGTGGGTACTTGGCATATTTTCGTCCTTCAGAAATTGCCTTTAGCTGCCATCTCCACCAGTAGGTTCCATGAATTGCCAGGTGTGACCTTTTTTGTTTGTTTTTGGTGTTTGGCATAAAATAGAAGCGCGTTCTGAGTTGCTCTGTGTTTCCTGTTATGTCATGAATCCTGTTTATACTTGTGAGCCACAATGCAGTCATTGCACTAAAGTCAGAGCCCTCCTTGCACATGTGAGTGCTAACTATGTAGAAGACCCAGTCTCTGGGCTTTAAACTGTAACTGCTGACTTGTGTTTGGATGAGGTGCTTCTTGGGGATTAGTCTTCAGAGAGGTATCACCGGTGCCATGTAGAACTAAACTCCCCTACTGTGAGCGGAGAACAGCACCACGTTTTCATGGAAGCTGTTGGACCCACTGACTGAGTACAGATCACGCTGTCACAGCACTGTGGATGGCCCTTCATGTGCTCTGAAGAAACTGCTGGGTCCAGCTGTTTGATATGCTGTGCCTGTTTTCTTACCGTTGGTGTTCACTTTGAAGGAAGAGCGCTGTTTAGCTATAGCTTTATCTCCAGTCCCTTATTACGGGTGGTGTCTGGTTTCTGCCTCACAGGAAGAGGAAATAAAGGCCTACAAGCCGAAAGGACTTTGTTCCGATACTTAACCCTTTGTCCAATTTGGTGGCTCGCTGTCGGTCCCTAACTTGTCCAGGGCGGGCCCTCCTGGGAGTCCATCATGTGCGCAAGGGAGGAACGACGGCCACCCGTGCTGCTGTTACCAGGTGCCATCCTTCGCCTCTCACCCTGGCAGAGGCAGCCAAGTCAAATCTGTTGTCGTGCCTGGTGTGGTGGGAGCAGCACTGCCTTTGCCACCTCTCCAGTGACGTGCAGATCAGCGTGACTTATTCTCTCCCAGGGGCACTCGGGAGCAGTTGCTGTCTGTTCCCTGCAAGTGCTGTGGTTGCAGTGTCATCGTGTTTAAGCCTTGCTCGTTATCCAAAAGTGACGTCAACCCTTTGAGCCCTAAAGAGTCCTTCTGAGAGGCTTGCCAGGTTCTCACCATCGTTGCTGAAGGCATGGTCTGGCCGGGCCACCTGGCCTGCTGACCATGCCCGCCACGCTCTGCCTGGCCCTGCAGAGGGCAAAGCGGGAAATCCAGCCTTGTCTTTTATCGACCTTTGTGTCGCCCCATTGTGCAGACTTGCCTGGACCCCTCCACAGGGGTTCAGGGGGTGTCTCCAGGGAATCTTCTGGTGGGAGTCTCTCGCTGCTCGAGTGGCTCCCAGGCTGCTTCCCCACAGCCCAGCCGTTACCCCGTGGGAACGCTTTTCTTGTGAGGAAAGCACAGCCGTCGTGGGAAAGGAGGCAGACCTTTGTAACATCAAGGACATTTGCTGAAGCTAAGGAAAGAATGCTTTTAAATAATCACTCCCATCAATCACGCACTTTTTATGATTGAAAAAATTCCGAGATTCTCAGATATGGGTGAAAACTGTGCTTGTCTTTTCTCTCCCTTAATATAAAGACAGTAGGGGGCCTCCCCGGTGGCGCAGTGGGTTGAGTGCAGCACTGTGAAGCTGTCTGCAGCCTCTGCAGTGCCGGTTCGATTCCCGGCCAGGGAGATTCCCACATGGTGTGGCAGACCTCTCTTGTCTCATCTGCTGCTCCCCTCAGCAGTGTGCTTTGGTCCTGCCTGTTCTGCTCCCTGCTCTGGTGAATCCTCTCACCCTCTGCGCCTCTGGCTTGTACCCCAGTGCTTGTATAAATAAATAAATCTTTTTAAAAAAAAAAGATTTATAAAAAGTATTTAAAAATATATAAAGACATTAAAAATCCTTTCAGGGAAACATGCCTTAAAGTCTTTGTGAGAAAGAGGAAATTTATCTTAAGAAATAAAACGTGGCAGGTCCTCATGACAGAGTGCCTGGATGACGTCTGTCTCGAGGGCGCGGGCTGCAGCTGTTGCGCGAGTTGGTGGTCGCCGTGCCATTTGGTTCTGGCTATCAGTTACTGATCTTTAGCAACTGAGGTCACTGTTTCCCAATCAGAACACATTGTGCCGCGCCTGCCAGCCCTCCTCTCTCCCTTTGCCAGGTTTTGACCAGGAGCGTGGAGGTAGTATTTGCTCCGGGCCTGTGTGTGTGGTCAGCTTCCACAGAAACCTTGCCCATAGGCCAGATCTCACCAGCACTGCCCCCTCCCAGGAGCCTCCCTCCCTCCACACTCTACCCTTCCAAGAACTGGATGTCTCTTGCCTGGGGAGCAGCTCTGGGTGACTCAAGTCCAAAGTCACCGACTTCCTCTGTAGCTAAATTCCGCACACCAGACAGGTGTTGCCTGACTGTAAGTGTTTGCACTGCACTTGTGAGAAACACAGGGTGGCCACACTGTGGCGTCTTAATTCGAGGGGCTGACAGCCTGCTGCAGGTGTACTTGTATGTAGATGTCATGGGGTTCTTTTGATTCGGAGAACCGGAGTCCTGCTGGAGCTAATTTAAATAAAAGTAAGGATTAATTTAAGAAACTGGTGGTTCTTCTGAAACCCCGGGCAGAGGATGGAGGCAGGACCCCTGAGGAGTGAAGCACTAAGTAGGCAGCAAAGGCACCAAGGCGTCTCTCTCCACCACTCTGACCAAGGTTCTCTACCCCACCCTCCCTGGGCACAAGCTGTATCACCCCACTTCTCTCTACACAGCAGCTGTGCACCCGCCGGTGACCCCACTCCTACCCCCCCCCCCCCCGCTGTCCCTTGCAGCTCACATGCTGAAGTCTGGTCACAGCACACAAATTCTAGGGCAGAAAGTCTATGGATCTAGCCTGAGACAGTTATTTACCCTGGTTCATAGTTGGAACCAGCATAGGGGTCCAGTGACTGCCCCGGGGACTGTGGGACTCGTCGCGCTGGGAAGGAGTATGGACAAAGCAGCTGCGTGAGTGGCCCGGCCTGTCTCTCTGGGCGTTGCCTGTAGTACAAAGCAGGGTGTCCTAAATCCTTCCACAGGAATAAAGTAACACGCGTTGAGTTTAGAGCAGGTGAGCGGAGGGCGAGTTCAGGAGTGTTTCTCGGAGAAGAGAGGCCTGTTGGCCCCTGAGCGCGCGAGTGGGTAGGAAGGAGGCGGCCACAGTAGGTTGTCGCAGTGAGATGGGAGAACCTGCAGGAGCGGAGTTGCAGTGGTGGAAACACGAGGAATGAAAAGATTCCGGGGAGACGAAGAAGTTAAGTTCCCCCACACGTGGTGGCTGCTTAGAAACAGGGCTTGAAGGGGCGCCGAAGCCTGGGCTAACTTTCACTTTTCAGATTTGGGAGAGTGGGAACGAGACTTAGCAGGGCTGACTGAGACCACGCCTGGGGGCGCTGCTCCCGGGCAGGCTGCTTGCTCGCAGCTCCACACGGTCCCCCTCCACCGCCTTCCCCAGCGGCAGCATTCTCCCCTCCCTGTGTTTCTTTAGTGAAATACTCAGCTTTTAAATTCAGTTGTCCACTCAAAAAATGTTCCTTGACTTGGGGTTCTTCCTCCTGGGTGCTCCCCTAGTTTCCAATAAAACCATTATTGCAGCTCTCATCTGTTTGTATTGCATTTGCCTATGTAAGTCATTTACTGGGCCACGAGCTCCTTGAGGACAAGGGTGTTCAGTGACCGTTTGCTGCTGATCTGATGGGTGGAGGAAAAGGACGCAGTGACCACAGGGTCTTTGGCTGGGCTGACTAGGAAATGGTGCATCATAAAAATTAAGCTAGGAAGCACATGAAGGAGTTTGCACTAGAGGACCATGAGAACCAAGGCCCTGTTATTTCTAAACCAATACTCGATACCAACATGCAGTCATTGTGTCAGCTCATTTGGAGGACCCTAGACTTAGAATCGTCAACAGAAAGATACACTAGAACACGCACTGCAGAAATACTGTCAGTCGCTTTAGAAGGGGCCTTAAGGAGGCCATTGGTCTTGCACCCCCGCCTTCAGTGAAGGTGTTGCTTCTCTGGCACCCTCAGTGATATTTTGGGGTCTCCAGTGATGGGGAACCCAAAGAGGATTATAATACTTGAGGCCTCCAATGGTTGGGAGGTCGTTGTCATCTTGTTAGAGTTGTCAGGAGGTCTGAGCGGAGCCTTGTTCCTGGGCGTGTCACAGCCGCCACATTTCCACGAATCTTCCTTTCGTAGCGCTGTCAGGGCCCCCAGAAGTAACCTGTTGTTGGTGAATGCTTGCTGGCTTTTAGGGATCGCTGCTTTTTGTAATGCATCACAACATATTTAGTGCTTTTGCTATTTAGTATTAAACTCTCATCCAGGATACTTAAAAAGCCACATTGGCTTCCTTGCTGGAATGATTTTCAATTATGTAATCAGATTTACAGTTTTAAGAGTTTCCCAACCCTCTTAAATCATCTTTCCCTTGAAAAAACTCTTGCGGTGGAATTCATGCCTCTGTTTCCTCAGGCCTTTGTGAAATCTGCTTCCCTAAGGTCTAGAGGTAACAGCCCCAGCCGTCCCTTTCAGGATGTCGTGAGCAAGGAGAGGTCAGGTCACTTTTTCCTATCCTAGCCTTGTCTCTGTTTCTTCTTGAATGTTTAAGGATAAGCGTTGAAGAGAATGGAAAAGTTTTGCAGTAGCTACTGTGAGGAACATAAGAGTGTTTCTTGGCAACACTGGAAACTAAACCGGAGATAGAGGATGGCAGCTGACCTAGGGCAAGGAGACATATTTGTATCCTTTTCTCAGCAAGCGTGAGGGGTGAGGAGAGGGGAAGGTGAGTAGGTCAGTGCAGCCATAGCAGCGTTGAGAAATTTGGGGTTGAACATGGAATTGTCTAGACTTAGTGGCAGACTTTTGAAATGAGCACTGGAGAAGGGGTTCCAGTGCCCCATATTTCAGCGTGTGAAGGGCAACAGGT